GCACGTGCATACACTTAAGTGGAATACACATCTGCATCTACTCAAAGAACCACCAGAAGATATCTTCAAAGTATTGGAAACTTTTTACAAGCCATTATACACTGCAGAAAGAGATGGAAGTCACAATGCTACCTAACACTTTAGGACATTCACCTTCTACAATTTTCTCAAATAGAGAGAGATGTTAGATTAGGAAGTGTGGTCAGTTAGGTGCAAGTGCGCTTTCTCCGTGTGCTGTCCCACCCCAGCCCAGATAGTTGGTTCAGCAGACCTCAACAGTACTACCCAGAAAGACCACAGACTCAAGTTTGGCAACGAAGGCACTCAGCCAGGTTTATTTCCCTCAAGACACAGTCCTAGCACCCTGGCTCCATGGTTACAGGTACACAATACGAGTGCCTTGAGGCAAGGAGGAGCTCAGTCCACAGCAGGAGTCTCTACTGTCCCATTGGCCACACAAAAAGTTACAGCAAGGTACCCCAATATTTATAGAACAAACAACTTACCTATCACCTTATGCATTTCATGACATCTGCTTGTTACTCCCCTTGTATCATGCTCCAGGTGTCTCGGGCAAAACATCCTCTTATTTGGTGTTAGGTCAGGATGTTCTTGGGCTATCTTTTGGAGTGTGTTCTCACGTACACCCAGTAAGTGTTACTTCTTAGGAATGCCTATGTTTTAGCAACACTAGCAATACTTTTGCCAAAGTCATATGTTGAACAGTGAACTTGCAAACATCTACTTTAATACATGGCCTAACTTTGGTTCATAGCCTCTGGTTCAGGCCTCAGGTCATGTGCCAGGCCCAGTGCTCCAGGATCTCTCACCTACAGGGAGCATCCATGAAAGATGTACTGAAACCCAATCTAAAAACACTGCCAACAGCTCGATCATACCGCCTGCATGGCTCCCTCTAAATTCTATAAGATCTCAATCACTATGATCTATTTGGCAGTAGACCACAACAGACATTCATAAAAGGTGTGTACTCTAGAGATACACAATTACTCCTACCCCCCCAAAAAGAATAAAGATGTCTTATCTTGCTCTGCCTGAAGACTCTTTTAAAAGACAGACTTCAAAGTCAACACACATTATCAAACAATCATATTTTACCTATCATCCTCCATCTCAATCAAGCAGGACTCATGAAAGGTGGAATGACCTCTGACAAGAATTTGAAAATCAATCCCTTCATCGGTCGTGTCCAGATATACACAAGAGACCTTCCTACTAGCTGAGAATGCCAAAAGCGTTTCAGTACTCTGTACCAAAATTTTCTATCAAATAGTTGGCGACAATGTATAATAAACCTGTGTCTATAACTACAACATACTTAAGTCATCTGCCTTTGCTTGGAGAAAGGGGTGGCCTTGTTTGGTGCTCTTTCTGCCACTCTCTTCCATTTGGCACTAGTACTCGTAGCAACAAAGCTCAGACATTTTGAGGAGGCAGGCATACCAGTATCATCCATTAAACATAAGCTCATGTATTTCCTGCACAAGGCAGCAGGATCAGAGGGCCGCCTAGTAAAGGCTGGCTGAAGACAGACACATAGATAAATGAATTGCACATTAAAAACAACAAAAGTTAAGGTGTTTAAACAAAAAGAAATTTAGTCTACTGAGCTACCTTTATTACTTACCTTTATTATGGTTGCATGATTAGGCAAGCAAAGCTATAATCACCACAAATTTCAAGGTAACACAACCTTTACTCTGCTCCTTGTGCACAAGCATTATAACAGTCTAAATTACATGACCACATACTTCTCAAATAATACATTATAATGTCAAACAATTTTTCCACTACAACTTTAGATGGATACACAGCATCCTGCGGTAAGGTGTACTATTCTATATAAGCGGACAATCTAGAATCATGAAAGTCAATTGAAATAAAAATGCAATAAAACACGCTACACAATGAACATATACAGTAGCATATATAAGCACTTAAGTGAAATTGTACATTAACTCTTTCAATAGCTATAGTACTATAAGTGGGTGTTTCATTAATACATCTCTTACTTTAAATACACTTACAGCTTAATACGAAGACTTTTGCCTCTGAATCAGATTTTTGTTTTATGCAAAAAAAAGTGTTCAACTTACCTGTACTTGTCCAATCAGAACTATGTTGAAAACTTTCTAATCAGTTGCACAGAAGTGAAAAGTGTCTACACAAATTCTCATTTATTAAAGAAATTTAACAGTATTATGAATCTGCCATAACTGACTACAAGGTACTACTAAACAAACACGAAGCATGTACTCTAGGGATATTTTATTCAAATCTAATCACAAGTACATCCAGTTCTCAGCAAACCTAATATTTTAAGATTCTTAAGGTCCTAGAGGACAGCTCAAATGAATACGAATTACAAAACAGTTACACTTCTACTTAAAACAGTCAATCATACATGTACAATGCAAAAGCTTGTGAAACACTAAAAGTTACTGTATCTACGTGCAATAGAAAAAAAACAACCTCGTAAATCCTTCAATTGAATGCTGATAATTTTGTTAAAAATACACAGCTTAGAAGGAAAGAGTAATTATATACAAAAAAACTCAAAGCCAAATCTTTACTGGTGCTAAGCATCTGCAACTCTTGCAGAAGACAGTATGATCTGCACAGAAAAGCTGACAATAAAGTTGACACGTTTAATATATTTTGTGGTGGATGTATGTTAACATTGCTGTTGGAAATGCACTTACATTTCCTGACTATTTTAACTTTTAATGTGGACTTTTAATATTGCATCCTAGGATTTTTAAAGAAATAGGAGACGAATGGGTTGATGTGCAGGGTGGGGGTAACAATCAATATACAAATCCAAGAGGCATTAGTACATTTCTTTCTAATTATCACATGGGACCTCTATTAAATACATATTCTTTCAAGTGCATCATTAATTTTGTCCAATTCCAGGAATGAGCAATTGAGGGAGGCATCTCTCTATAACTGCCTCTATAAAATCAGTTAGGAATAGTCTGGTAACCTACTCCCCACTGGAATAAAGAGGACCTGGGACTGGCTTCATGAACTCCTCTAACCAGAATGAATATCACCCAAAAGGGATGCCTGGACAATCCTGCAGCCAAGAGGAAAGTGTTCCCCAGTCACTCATTTAAATTATGCAGACTTTAGGCCCCACGGCATTCTTGAGCACAAACCCTCCGAAGTCCAATATTTTTTATTGAATATATGATCTAATAATTACAATTTGAAAGTATTTTTAAAGTAGAATGAGGAACATAAAGGTCCAGTTCACAATGCACCAGCCATGCAACGCAACTTTGTTCAACACACAACATCATGATGGGATGAACCCTGGAGTCAGCTGAACAGGAAGCAGAGTAGAGCAGCTCCAGCTAGACCAACAGCAAAACTCAAATACAACATAAAACAAATATTTTGCTCTCCCAAAATGATGGAAGACAGACCTTGCATGCTCCATTTCAGAGGTTCATTCCAAAGGGGGGAAAGAATCTCAGCTTCCAGAATTACATTCCAGAGCTACCTGTATTGAGCAGAGAACATGCCACGTGGAATTGCAAAATTGAGCCAAGAGGCATGCAGCAAACAGAAGCAGTTACAGCAGTTACTGAAGAAAACAGAAAGGAGCATAAATTTTGGCAAGTCAAGTATAATTAGGCAGGCCAAAAATAATTTGAAGAGCAACCAGCAAAAGACAAAACCTAACAGCATTTTTTTTTTTTTTTTGGTCCATCAGAAGCAGGAAGCTTGCCAGTCAGTGGGATCACTGGATGACATTGGTGCTAAAGGAGCATGCAGGGAATACAAGTCCATTGCAGAGAAGCTACATGAATTCTTTGCATTGGTCTCCCCTGCACATGATGTGAGGGAGACTCTCACACCTAAACCATTCATTTTAGGTAACAAATCTCAGGAACTATCCCAGATTGAGGTGTCAATAGAGTAGCTTTTGGAACAAATCTATAAATTAAACAGTAGAAAGTCACTAGGACCAGATGGTATTCACGTAAGAGTTCTCTAGGCACTCATATGAAATTGCAGGACTACTAACTGCGGTATGTAACCTATTGCTTAAGCCAGACTCTGTACCAGATGAGTGGAGGGTAGCTAATGTAATGCCTATTTAAAAAAAAAAAGGCTCCAGAGGCAAATCCTGGCAATTACAGGCTGGTAAGCCTAACTTCAGTACCAGGCAAACCGGATGAAACTATAATAAAGAGAATTATCAGACACACAGATTAACACAATACGGTGGGGAAGAGTCTATGTGGCCTTTGTAAAGGGAAATTGTGCCTCACCAATCTATTAGAATTCTTTGATGGAGTCAACAAGCACATGGACGAGGGTGATCCAGTCCATATATTGTCCTTGGACTTTCAGAAAGTCTTTGCCAGAAGCTGGGAATGGGCGGCAGGGGAATGGATCACTTGATGATTACCTGTTCTGTTCATTCCCTCTGGGGCACATGACATTGGCCACTGTAAGAAGACAGGATACTGAGCTAGATGAACCTTTGGTCTGACTCAGTATGGCCGTTCTTAAAGTTCTCTGCAAACATCTGCTCAATGTGCAACAGCAGTCAAAAAAGCTAACAGAATATTAGGAACCAATAGGAAAAGGATAGATAAAACAAAAATATGAAAATATAAATCAATGGTATGCCCACATCTTGAAAACTGCATGCAGTTCTGGTTGCCCTATCTCAAAACAGATATATTAGAACTGGAAAAGGTACAGAAAAGGAAGAGAGAAAAAAATTAGGGGTATGGTACAGTTTCCACATGAGGAAACAGACTGTTTATCTTGGAAAAGAGACAACTAAGGGGAAATACAATAGATGTCTATAAAATCATGAATCGTGTGGAGAAAGTGAATAAGGAAATATTTACCCGTTCACATAAAGCTCATGCTCAAATAAACTGGTTAGTCTCTAAGGTGCCACAAGTACTCCTTTTCTTTTTACATAAAAAACAGTTATCCACCTATTTGTAACTGTTTGAGATGTAGTGCTCATGTCCATTCCATTCTAGGCGTGTGCGCACCCACAAGCATGGTCGTCAGAGATTATTGCCTTAGCAGTATCTGTAGGGCCAGCTGTGGTGCCCCCTTGAGTGCCACGCTCATACGTCACTATATCAGGCACCTCCAGTGCTACGCCCTCTCAGTTCCTTCTTGCCGGCAACTCCAGACAGAGGGGCAGGAGGGTGGGTAATGGAATGGACATGAGCAACACAGCTCAAAGAACAACAGTTACAAAAAGGTGGGTAACCGCTTTTTCCTCTTCAAGTGCTTACTCACGTCGATTCCTTTCTAGGTGGCTCACAAGCAGTGTCCATGAAGGTATGCTCGGAGTTCACAGTTGTGCAGCTTGCAGCACTGCTCTGCCACAACTAGCATCGTCTCGAGCTTGCTGACTAAGTGCATAATGAGACACGAATGTGTGCACAGAAGACCAGGAGGCGGCTCTACAGGTCTCTTGGATTGGAACCTGCACCAGGAAGGCCACTAATGACACCTGTGCCCTGGTAGATGTGCCCTGATGATTGCCAGCGGAGGCACATTTGCCAGCTCATAGCAGTAGCAGATGCAGGCAGTGATCCAGGACAAAGTCCTTTGAGCAGACACTGGGCGACCCTTCATTCTGTCTGCCACCACAACGAACAGCTGTGTCGACTTACGGAACGGCTTTGTCCTGTCTATGTGGAAGGCCAGCGCCCTCCTGACGTCCAGAGCGTGCAGCCTGTGTTCTTCATCTGATGTATGAGGCTTTGGAATGAAGACAGGTAAGTATATGTCCTGGCCAGTATGAAACTGGGAAACGACCTTGGGCAGAAACACAGGGTGTGGTCGCAGCTGAACCTTATCCTTGAAGGATACTGTATAGGCTGGTTCTGAAGTAAGTGCCCTGATCTCGGACACCCTGCGGGCTGACATTATCACCACCAGGAAAGATACCTTCCAGGAGAGAAGCAGGAAGCCAGGGGCACAAAGGGGGGGGGGGGGGAGATCCCATGAGTCTCAACAGCACAAGGTTCAGGTCCTAGGAAGGGACAGGATCCCAGACATGGGGGTAGAGATGCTCCAGACCTTCCAAAAATCGGGTTGTCATATCGTGAGCGAAGACAGACCTGTCTTGGAATGGAGAGTGGAGCCAAAATAGCAGCCACGTGGACCCTGACTGATGACAGGGACAAACCTTGAAGTTTGAGGTGCAGAAGATAATCAGGATCTCCTGCAGCGAAGACTGAATAGGCCGTTCCGAGGACCAGCACGTGAACTTTTTCCATTGGCCAGGTAAGCAGCTCTGGTGGAGTTTCCTGCTACCCGATGAGACCTGCTGAACCGGGGCTGAGCGTTCCCGTTTGTCTATGTTTAGCCATGCAGTAGCCATACTGTCAAGTGTAGTGCTGCCACGCTTCAGGTGCGGAAGGCTACCTTGGTTCTGGGACAGAAGATCCAACCAGGAGAAGCAGTTGCAGCGGGGCGGGTACTAAAAGGTTCAGCAGCGTGCCGAACCAGTGCTGGCAAGGCCATGCACGGGCTATTAGGATAATCTTCACACTGTCCTGCTTGATTTTCACAAGGACGCTGTGAATCAATGGCACTGGTGGAAAGGCATACATCCAAGCCCCTGACCGTGGGATGAGAAATACGTCTGACAGAGAGTCCCTGTCCTCCCCCATATCAAACAGAACGCGTGGCACTTCCTGTTCTGCCTGGACACGAACAACCGGAGAGGCCCCCCACCTCTGGAAGATTATACTAACCACCTCTGGATGAAGTGACCACTCATGGTGAAACGAGAAGGTCCTGCTGAGGTGATCTGCTAATATGTTCCTGGTCCCAGGCAGGCAGGCAGCTACCATATGAATGGTGTGCCGCACACAAAAGCCCCAAAGGCAGAGAGCTTCTTGGCAGAGGACCGATGACCTGGCTCCGCCCTGCCTATTGATGTAATACATTGCAGCGGTATAGTCTGTCAGGACTTGCACCACCTTGCCCTTCAGGTGGGGCAAGAAAGCCTGGCAGGCCACGCACACTTCTCTGAGCTCCCTGACATTGAAATGGAGGGCCAGATCATCCCGCAACCAGATGGGCTCCCCCGCCCAGGTCCGAAGCATCAGAGACCAGGGTCAGTGACAGGACCGTGAAGGAACTTCCTCCAACAACAACCCGGGGTCCAACAATATCAATCCAGGGACGAACAGATGCGATCCAGTACCCTGACTACCTAACCTAGGGTCGTTCCTTTTGGTGATGTAGATCAACGCCAGCCATGCTTACAGAAGCCGGAGATGGAGCCAGGCATGACTGACCACAAATGTACATGTGGCCCAAGAACCACAGGCATGTGTGAGCCGTGGTGAGTGGGTCGTTCTTCACATGGGAGATCAGGTCTGACATGGCCTAAAAAACACACTTCCAGATCGAAAATCATCCCAATGAACTCTATTCGCTGGACTGGCCTAAAGGTAGATTTTCTCATTTATTAACAGGCCCAGATCACAGCAGGTGGAACACACCATTTCGAGGCTCCTCTGCACTTGTTCCACAGACCTGCCCTTGATGAGCCAGTCGTCAAGATATGGGAAAACCTGGACCCCTCAACGTCTCAGGTAAGCAGCCACTGACGCCATACATTTTGTGAACACCCTTGAGGCTGATGAGAGGCCAAAGGGCAGCGCCGTGAATTGAAAATGGCATTGGCCCACTATGAAACTGAGGAAATGTCTGTGACCTTGGAATATGGAAATACGCGTCCTTCAAGTCAAGGGCAGTATACCAGTCTCCCAGATCCAGGAAGGGAGTGATGGAGGCCAGGGAGACCATGAGAAACTTCAACTTCCTGAGAGACTTGTTGAGGCAACGCAGGTCCAGAATAGGTCTGAGGCCCCCTTTTGTTTTCGGGATTAGGAAGGAGCAGGAATAGAACCCCTTTCCTTTCATGTCCCGAGGGACCTCCTCTATTGCCCCCAGCTGCAGAAAGTTCTTGACCGCTTGAACGAGGAGTTCCTTGTGAGAAGGGTCCCTGAAGAGGGATGGGGAAGAATGGGGGTTGGAAAAAGGGGCGGCAGCTGAGAATTGCAGGGTATAGCCCCAAGATGTTATTTCTAGCACCAAGCGGTCCAAGGTGACCCGCAACCAGGCCAAACGGTGGGGATGAAGACTGTCGAGGAAAGAACAAGGTGGATCCGGGGAGTTGACTGGGGCATCACTCTCGAGCGCACCTTCAAAATGAGGTACTTCTGGCCCCCAGGATACTTTGCCAGGCCAGGCTGCATGGGTGAGCAGGAGGAGGAGGGGCGACGACTACTAAAGCTCATGTCTCTAATACCTTCTCCTTGCAGACCCATCAAGTCTGCCATGGTCTTGGTGGTGGGGGTGGCCAGAACTGCTTCCTTGCAGACTGCGGCGTATGAATACCCATCGAGCGTCCTTCAACCCATGCAGCCTAAGAGTCCATTCCCATTGAATGGGAGGTCCTGAATGGAGGTCTGCATTTCTTGGGACAGGCCAGCAGCTGCACCTCATGACCACCACTGATGCGACCACCCTAGCCGCCAAGTCCACCACATCCCACACCATTTGGAGAGAGCACCTGGCCATCGTGGTACCCTCCTCTACCAGGGTGCCGAATTCCTAGGCCAAATCTTGGGGGAGAGGCTCCTTGAACTTAGAGAGGAAGTTAAAACTGTACCTACCCAAGAGAGCCTGGTGGTTCACCACCCAGAATTGCAGGCTGGCTGTCGAATAAGTTTTCCTCCCGAAAAGGTCCCATTATTTGGCCTCTTTGTTTTTGAGAGTTGGAAGTGGTGTGCCCCTGCTTGTCCCTCTAGTTGGCCACAGAGATGACCAGCAATCCCAGAGATGGCTGGGTATATAGGTACTCAAACCCTTTGGCTGGGACAAAAGTACTACTTTTCAGCCCTTTTGGTGGTAGGAGGGATGGAAAACAGGGTTTACCAGAAGGCCTTGGCAATTTTCAGGATCCCATCAGGCATAGGGCCGACGGTGCCTGATATACTGACACATGAGCACAGCACTAACAGGGGCACCACAATCGACCCTAAAGATACCACTAAGGCAAAAATCTCCATCTGCGCACGCGGACGCATGAACACCTAGAATGGAATCGACATGAGCAAGCATACGAAGAACAATAACTAGGGTTCACTCAATGAAATTAATAGGCAGCAAGTTTAAAACTAACCTAAGGAAGTATTTCCTCACACAATGCACAGTTAGTCTGTGGACTTCATTGCCAGGGGATGTTGTGAAGGTCAGAAGTATAACTGGGTTCAAAATAGAATGAGAAGTTCATGGAGGATGGGTATATCAGGGGCTATCCGCCAAGATGGTCAGGGATGCGACCCCGTTCTCTGAGTGTCCCTAAACCTGACTGCCAGAAGCCGGGACTGGATCACGTGATAATTGTACTGTTCTGTTCATTCCCTCTGAAGCATCTGGCACTGTCAGATGACAGGTTACTTGGCTAGATGCACCATTGGTTTGGCCTATTATGCCTTTCTTATGTTCTCAAGAGTATTTTTGGAATGTTGAAGACTGGCATGGTGGAGGACCACATAAAATATAAACCCTATAGTAGCTGTAATGGAGTATACATCTGGGGAGTACTTCACATACACAAGGTGTGTTACAGGCAGTCTTGGGAATTACATAGTGTCAGGATGCCAAATTTCTCTAGTGAAGAAAAAACCAGAGAGGGAAGAAAACCACAGATGCACAAAGATTCAGGACAGAACCATAATCAAAACAGTCCTCCTAATCTGAGCAAAAGCTAACATGTTAAGATAGGACGTAAATTCTCTTAAAAATTTGTAGCTGTAAAACTATCATGGCAACCTACATTCTTTCATACCTCAAACTCAGCCAAGCAGGATTTAAGATCTGATGTCTTTAATTTCCTCTATCTTTTAACTAACAATGTTACATTTCAGATGCAACAGCCTATTTTTGGACAAGTGCTGTAAAGAGTGTCAATAAACACTTCATCCTCCTAGAGGGGCCTCAGGGGAAAAATCTAATTTGTTTTCGTCCTGCTGACAAATCAGAAGAAGCAAGACTGATGAGGGAGATGGACAGACATTTGGGTTGCAGTACTATCTGTAGGCTGACACAGGCAAAGAGCAGAGTACTATCTCTGTAATTAAAACAGTAACCTTAATTGCCTGTGCCAAACCAAGATTGCTTCTTGGAGGAAATCAAGGCTCAATCCATATAACATGGAGTTGATGCAGGCAGCCAGAAGGAAAAAATACAGTCACTAGTGAATACTGACTGATCTTTGCATTCAGAAGGTAAATCTCTGGTTTCAGTGATTTTCAATTTCAGGGGCAATATTTGACCCCTTATTGCTATTCTTAGATTCCTATATGACAGTGATGGTAAAAGGCATTTCATGCTATCTTCAGATGGCTCTTCTCTGACATGGATCTCTCCATGCTTACCACCTACGAATTTCACTAGCATAGGGCACCACAGGTATCTGGAACTACTCTTGAAGATCACTCAGAACCTTCAGATAGTGCAAACAGAATGCAGCCTCCTGCTTAATGAGCAGGCCCAGTAGAGAACACCTGGGCTCTAAACTAGCTTGACTTAAGTACAATTCAAGATGCTGAGAATTATCTATAAAGCCTAAAAATACTCCAAAATATACTCTCTCTCTCTCTCTCTGCACCATCATAGAATTTATAGTCAACAAATATTCTTCCTCACAGTTCAACTCCAAAGGGCAGACAGCCCTTCAATCCAGTATTTGGCCACCTTTAGAAATCAGTACAAGATAGCAAGTCTTATAATCTATCTGAAGAGTAAATACTGCTGGATGGGAGCAAGGTGAGGTTCTGTGTTGGATATTTTGGGCTGAAAAAGACTCTCCACTTTATAATTTGTATATTGTACACAGATAAGCCTGTTAAAAACAAATAAACTAATTTTCCACAAACCAGTGAACAGGTTCCATGAACATTTGTGATAAGAATAAAACTGTAATATCACCAAGTCTTTGTAACATTCTAAAACTTTTTGTGATAGTTAATATAATATTAAGTTTTAAAAAAAATACCAGTTTTTTAATCTGTCACGGGCTTCCAACTGGGCTCCCACCTCAAAGTTGATCCCTCTTCTATTCGGTGGATGTTTTGTCATTTTGTAATATCAACACCGCTGTTTTTATTCCCCTGAAAAATGCAATTGAATATCAATCACTAATAAAGACACATACAAAAATAAATCTATGCACTGTAAATCCAAAACATCTAAATGTTAAAAGTATTCTTAAATAATTCATTGCTCAATGTTTCCTATTTACAAGGAATAATCTAGTGAAAGTGATTTTCTGAGATTCAAATCAATATTAAATTCTTTACAACCAAATTTTTGAGGTATTCTCGGTGGACTGCTAATATCTTTTAGAGTGGAGGAGGGCGGGGGAGTTTAATGCTAAAAAGTTATCTATCCATGGTGCACTTTTACTGTGTTCATGGAAAAATATGGTGTAAAACAAAAATCAGTTTCAGAAGAGGAACAGTCTTCAAGAACATACAAAGGAATGAAAGAACATGGAACACTTAATGTAGTGAAACATGGCCTCTCTCTATTGCCTGAGTGTTGAGTCTTGCGATGTTAAATTTCAGAACTCGAAAAACAAAACAAAAAAGGACCAAAGGATCTAACAAACAGTAAAACTAGTGAGGAATCTTTTCAAGAGTTAATTATGTACAGAACTAAACTGCCATTTTAATGAGCTTCCTGAAAACACTGAATTAGCTCATCCTTTCTCTGCACACTGCAGTGTACTTTACTATGACATCATCACTGATACAATAAAGACTGAATTTAAGAATTATTACAGTTATGATTTATATTTGTCACTTCAGAGCTACAATATCACCTAGTATGTTATTTCCCTTTCCTGTGTTATCATCTATTTATTCTTTTAGTCTTCTGTATTTTATTGGAAACTATTTTTAAAAACAGCCAATTGTTGTGAATGCCTCCAGTACTACTTAAAACACACTAAGGAAGTCTTGCCTTAGTAGCTCATTAATTTCAGGGTCCACTTAATTGCAAAGTCCTGTTCAACAGCAACTTTTCCCAAAATCTGTACCTCAGAATTTTAACCTAAGAATTCGATACAGACTACAGAGGCTTACAAAGAAGCTTTCTCTGGGGGGGGAAGATTATCCCATAACTGCCTACTATAGGGATTCTTTCTCTGAAACATATGGTTCTGGCCACTGTCCGAGACAGGATGCTGGATGAGATGAACAAGTGGTGTGATCGACTCCGGCAACCGCTATGTTCCTAAACGAGAGTTGAGCCCTTCTGAAAGTCTAGTCCCAAATTAACAGTTTGAGGAAAAGGTATTTTAAAAAGTAAAAGACTTTTTACCAGAACACAAAAAACAGAAACCACGGTCCTCCAACACATGGAAAGTAGTAATCAGAAAAATTGTCATCTGACAATACATATAGCATCCAGTGTTGTCATAGTTGTATTGGTCCCAGGATATTAGAGACACAAGGCAGGCGAGGTAATATCTTTAATGGACCAACTTCCGTTGGTGAGACACACCACCATCCTCTCACCAACAGAAGTTGGTCCAATAAAAGATATCACCTCACCCATATTTTCTCTAATCCATACAGCAAGTACTTAATCTCAAAGTTAGTTTTCATAGCAAAACCCATTTAAACCTCAAAAACATGTACGATGGAAACACCAATAGGTTCTTAACTATGCAAATACCAATTATTCTCCTCACTTGCATCAGTTTTACACCAATGTTCCCCCATTTACTGGATTTATTCCTAAGTAACATTAAGTGAGGCTAATCAGGTCCCAGACCTGCAAAGCTAGTTAAAACTAGACAAAAATAAAAAAGTATTTAACCAGAAGTTAAAGTGGGAACAAAAGAGTATAAGTCTATTAATACCCCCCCCACCACACTCCCTATTGCCCTGTCTTTGGTGGCAGCTGTGCCTCCATACCTCCCATTGACCCTCGTGGTTCTCTGCCCGCCTCCCCACTCTGCCCCTTTTCTGAGGTGGCTCACTGCAAGCCCTAACTAGAACTAACAATGAAATTACGAAAAAAAAAAAAAAATGTAGCCTGGAAACAAAACAGTTTAGGAAACTCTTCCTCACTGTGAAATCTGTTAAACTGTTGAATAGTCTCCTAGGGAAGTGATGGAAGCCACCCTGTTTGTGACATTTAAAACAAACCAGAAGAAAACACTAGAAAATATACTGCAGGGAAAGCCCCAAGCAAGGGCCTCCATAGGGCATGGACTGGATCAGTGGCTCTTAAACTGTGGTCCATGAAACACTTGCTGGTGTTCTATACAGAGCCGGCATGTCACCTTGTGTTGGCTAGCTTTCTTCCTCAGTTCCAGGTACTTCTATGGTGGCCAGGCTCCTCATTCAGAAGAGAGCGCCAGGAAAAGACCTGTACAAGCAGCCATCCTGGCTGTCTTTACTAGAGTCTGTTGAGACATGACAGTAAAAAGCCTCCCAAATGCACTGCAACATTGCTTGCATCCTTTGGAACATGCATGACAACAATAGACAGACTCAAATCTCAGCAAGTAGTATTTGATCCAATTCGTAGTGAAGCCAACAGAAAGACTTCCACTGGGTCAGACCCATAGTGAATGAGAATCTTAATGAAGTAGAGGGGCAGAAGAGTCAAATAAGTGGCAAGAGTTGGTGCTGGGCCCAGATGGCACAAGAAAGTCAACCAGCAGGTGAGGGTAGGATCAGGAACCAAGAGGGAAAGAAGAACAATTGAGATCCAAGGACTAGGAAAGGCCCCTCTTCTGGATGTGGTATAGATTCAATGAACCTGCACAATCTTTCAATATTTGTTCTTTGAAGTGCCAGTTTTTAAAAGGAGCCACAGTATAGTTACAGCTGCTGTTTTTGCCATTCATTATTTCCATTCAGTTTTTTTCATAATGGAGCTAATAAAAATACTGGCAAAATGCCAGTACTCGTGAACAAATGGCATAGCAAAGGTGTCTTTTCCCTGTTTTGGAGGCACTCCCGTACAAGGTGATTGCCAATGAAAACAAATGAAACTCCCTCCCAATGACACCATATCAACTCTGTCCATGCAGAGCAGAATACTTAGTTTCAGCCTGAAAAGTATAACAAAGGGTTAAAAAATTAGAAACATTCCAACTATATTTGCAAAGTTCCTAATAAGATACATTTGTGATAATCTAAGCTCTATTCAACCTGCATTTGTCCTAGGTTTTTGCTTTGTTTTTTATTGATTTTCTGTTCATATGGTTTTATTCTATTTACAACTCTATCACCCCATGTGACATTTGTCCTTTTTTAGTCAACGACTCCTTATGCCAAAGACTCAGTGGAAAGCCTGCTTTCTCCATAAAACATCAACTAATATATTTGGGGCAATCACTGATTAAGGATCAAAGACAGACATTCTGTCAAGAATTGCGCAAACAACAGCAACAGTGGCAAAGCTAAAGCCAATTTGGAGGACCAAGAACATCTTTCTGGAATCCAGACAAACTGCTACACACACTGGTCACCTCCATTTTTCTGTATGAGTGCAAGACATGGACCCTTATGGCAGAACTTGAACGGAAAACACAGGTAGTAGAGATGAGATACTTCCGTAAAATCCTGGGCATCTCAGACTTCAACCACGTCACTAACGAAGAGGTCCACAACATCGTCACCCAATACGCTGGGTCATATGAAGACCTCCTGACGAATGGTACAGCCATGTAACAAGATCATCTGGCCTATCCCAGGAACAGTACAGGGGAAGAGAAGAGATGGACTGACCACATAAAGAGTGTACAGGAATGGACTTCGGGGAGATTCAAGTACTGACGCACAATCGTCAGGGTGGAGACAATTGGTTGATTGGTCATCAATGATGGTGCCCCAACGATCAATGCGGTTATGGGACCAATGATGAATATATTTTTAATACTTCATTGGCTCAGCCAACACTGGTGTGATCTTCTATGAAAGACATTTGGTATCCCTGCTTTCCCTACTCTCCCAGGCTTCTTCTGTGTCCCTGTCTGAGCCCTATAAACCCTTAATTTTATCCCACTATAGCAGTGGTTCTCAAACTTTTGTACTGGTGACCCCTTTCACACAGAAAGCCTCTGAGTGCGACCCCCTTATAAATTAAAAACACTTTTTTGTATATTTAACAACATTATAAATGCTGGAGGCAAAGCAGGGTTCGGGGTGGAGGCTCACAGCTTGTGACCCCCCCCATGTAATAATCTCACGATCCCCTAAGGGGTCCTGACCCCCAGTTTGAGAAGTCCTGCACTACAGGTATATTGTGGCCACTGTTCCTTCTAATCAAAAAAAGTTAATTGGGGCTCCTTTCCAATCCCATTAACACAACTCTTTAAAATTGGCTAATTAACACTGAGCGGTGCCCGTCCCTTCCCAACACACAATCATGGGAAGCATCATACTTCTACATCATACGCCTACTCCTAGCACAACAGGACACCAGGAGCAGAAACTAGTATGCTAGGAGACAGTGCAGAATGATGGCCACTGTGCTGATTACAAGCTCTTTTGACTTAAGCTAAAGTCAAAAGCTTTTAAGAATAGATTTTATTTTATTTTTAAAATAGATATGTTCTGAGCTAGAGCTGGGGGACTGACTTCGCTATTCTGATGAACATTCTCTGTTACTTATCTGAAGCCACTGGCTTGCTATTATCAATAGCTCAGACAGGATCTATTGTTCTCTTCACTGGTGTTTTCTTTTCCCTCCTCCCTCTTCTGAGTCTGCAACTGGTTGATCTCAAAAGTATTCACCCCATCATAGATAGAGAAATGTTTTCACTGTCCCAGTTCTAGACTATGTTGGGGCAGAAACATTAAACACTTTCCATCCCGCAAAACCCAAGGTCATATATTTAATTCTCTCTCTCAAAACTAGTAGGTAGCAATGCTACCAGTAACACATTAAATATGCCAGAATCTCAGCAAGAAGATAAGATTTCAACACATCTAAGCAGACGACAAGGACTATCATAAGACCAGGATTCCCAGAACA